CTAATAAACGGTTTGCTTTTTTATTTTAAATTCCAGAAGCAGAAGTTTATGCACCTGTGGGATCAACTTAGTGCTAGGGCATTCAAATTATAACAATAGGATAATTTCTATAGTGTCACTTTTTTTTGGGACACCCTGTATAGCTAATACACAGCCAGCCACTTAATTGACCAAGTGCCAATGAATATTCTACACAATTCGTCAGAAAGCCCCAAGAACATGATTCCTTGGCAAGTTGGTTTGTAGCACTTCGTACAGTAAACATTTTTTCCTTGACTAGATTTTCTAAGGGATATTTACATTTGTTCACGACAAGAATGAAATTTCTGAACAGACGTGGACGTTTTTCTTGTCAACTGTACACACCAACATTCAACAATTCGAGTTAGTTTCCCTTCTTCAAAGCTAGCACGACTAGCTACTGACATCTAGGGAGAACATTTTGAAACTGATTTCTATCTTTCCTAATACCATAGGCTGCCCAAAAGTGCGTGTTGTAATTTTTACCCTCGCGCGTGGCGCTCGGGCATGCATCAAGTCTACTCAGTTTATTATTATAATAATAAACTGAGTAGACTCGATGCATGCCCGAGCGCCACGCGCGAGGGTAAAAATTACAACATTAAAAGACACCACAGCGTCAAGTTCGTCGATCTTGGACGTGAGGGAGCGGAGATTACAAATTAAAAGGTTTGGTAGTTTAATGGAGAGTAACGTAGACTCAAATTTATGCGTTCAAGTGTATTAATTTTTTGGACTGAATAAGAGTATCGTGATAGGGTCGATTCTGGTAGATCGCTGATCGGGGAAAGCATAGGAATACGTGTGGAGGAGGATTCAGGAGAAATACATGGAATAGAGCTCTGTTTAGAAGGATTTAGTAAAATCTGTTTTGGTGGATCTGGGAGGATAATCGGGGAAAACTGGACGAGGGTAGTGGGATTCCATTAACGGCCCTGGATAAGATAAGGGTCGGTCGCCATGGGTGTAGGCTGTACGTTTGGAGCTGCGGAGGTTGGGCTGTGTGAACGTTTGATGGAAATGGTACTTGCGCTCGGGATAAAAAAGAGGCAGGTGGCAAATGGCTACTAGTAGTGGTTTTTAATACCGACCTTCTGATTGGGACCCAAGCGTGGGAGAAATCTCATCGATTGTCTTTCAGACAGAAGCCTCTGTTCTGCAGGAAAGGGGACATTATGTTTATGTGTATTGCGAGATGGTTTAGGATCATACGAATAACCCGTGTCTGGAACATGGTCTCTCGACATATATTCAAGTCTATTCTTTATAAGTCTATTCAAGTCTATTTTAAGTCTATTCAAGTCTATTCGTCTTTCGGAACGAGTTAGTTCGTTGTCCTTGAGGCAGTATTCTTTGTTTAATCGTTTTCCTCGTTATTATATGACAGGTCGTTATTATATGAAATGCTCGTTATTATATGACATGCTCAAGGCCGCCGAGAGCTTGGCGGGGGCCCGAAACAAAATTTTTTTTAGGGGCGCCTATTGCAAAAAAATTTTACGGAAAAAAATTTTTCGGGCAATAATTTCTTTTTAGGTAAAAATTTTTTCAGGACAAGTACGTTGTAATTGCTTTTAGGCATGTCCCGATTTTGCTCGGCAACTTTTGAGCAACTTTTTGCGTTTGGAGCAACTTTTTTCGGTTCAAGCAACTTGAAGCAACTTTTTCCTTTTTGAGAAATTTTCGAGCAACTTTTTTACTTGAGTTTAAACTTTACATGTTTTCATGTGATAGATAACTTCATTTTCTTGCTTCTCATGAGCAAAGACCCTGGGTGCGAGGTTGCTTCATTTTCTGTGATATTTTTCTGTCTTATTTTTTAAATTTTTATGACCTTTGTTTTGTTATTTGTAAAACTTTTGTAAAGAAAACATTTTCTCTTTATAATTCCAAACAATTTATCCGGGCCTACGGAAATTGTATAAAGCTTTTAATCAACGTATGTCGTGAAATTAACGTAATGAGTATAAACTTTTTGAATTTTAGTAGCAATTTTTTATTTCGGGCAACTTTTGAGCAACTTTTATGCTTTTTAGAGAGCAACTTTTTTGTTTTAGAGAATAACTTTTTGGGATTTTATGAGCACAATCGGGACATGCCTAATTGCTTTCGTGGGACTTTTCCGCAATTTTCCATACCAAATTTCGGTACTTTGCACTCAAAACACAATATTTCGGCCCGAAAACAAAAATATTTCGCCCGAAAAAATGACTGGGGCCCAACATTAAATTTTTAAGGGCCCCAGAACCTCAGGGGCCCGGGGCAATTTGCCCACCCCCTCTCGGCGGCCCTGGACATGCTATGTGATTACAAATTTAACAAAAGCCGTCCTTTGCTTTCCGATTTTAACACTGTCTTTCCAATGTTAAACACACTAACATAAATTCATATGCTTGTTTTTCAACCATGCATGCAGATAATTATACCGTGCTTAGTAGAGTTTTTAGTATAAATTTCTTATCTCGTATAAACGCCAATGCGGTGGAGTTGCCTTATTATTAAATCTTTTCTAGTTTTGCGTCGTTTAAGATCGGGTGATACAATAAAATGAGTTGTGCACAATCCGTTCAGCGTCGATTCAAGCTGCCCAATGCAGGGGATTGCAATTTTCACTGCCGCGATTTCTATAGTACGATTTTCTTCTTCTAATGCGTGTAAACGAGTAACCCGCGCGTGCAGGAACGAGTGGATGAGCTGTTAATTATATTACTTGTCATATGATATTATTCCTGATACACATAATTATTTCCTTTTCTTGTAAACACACAAGCAACTTTTCAACGCATGGAATACAAAAGGATATTTTTTATACTATCGAGTCTTTCGGAATTCAGTGTTTAAAATCAGGGTTGGTAAGTTAGATGAATATAATTAAGCGAAATCGTCATTAGTGTCGTTTCGAAAACAAAAGGCCAAGACAAAGAAAACAGAGGCCTAGTGTGACGGTGTTTGGCCTAATTATTCGGCAAACCTACCAACCCTGTTTAAAATGCCGTTGGGCAGAGGGGAGGGGCGGGAGGGGGTCAAGGGGCCGCGCTGATAGTGAGCTTAAGCTAGTGACGTTTTTGCCAACACGAACGGCATGAGTAACGTCAGAAGACTGGGTCAAGGGCTGTGATTGGTGAAAAACGTCAACTTTACTTCCGGTCGACGTCCGTGTTGTTAAAAACGTCACTTGCTTAAGCTCACTATTATGTTCTGAGTATATTTCATAGATATCTTATATGCACTAGATAGTGCATCTAATTATTCTGCAATTCAAAAATTGAAGCCGTGATTGCAGTCTCAGGTCGTTCCCATGAAATGAGAAGATTCGTATGTTTTCTATTTCTTAAACAGGGAACTTAAAGATCAAGTTTAACCCTATTCCAAATACGTTTTTAAACTATTCAAATGATGAAAGTTATTGTTGTTTTTAAGCGTTTATTAGCAAGTGGGAACGACCAACATGGCCGCCATCTATTCAAATGGGGGTAACCGCTGGAATATTCTTGGCTTCAATTTTACTAAAAGAGATGCGCTATCTAGTGTATATAAGATATCTATGGTATATTTACGCTCATCTGAAAATATATAACTCGTCCACTCGTTCACATTCATCATCAGAAGAAATTGCACTAGAAATCGCAACAAAAATTGCAAGTGCATGGGTCTTTACGGTACGGTAAGTAAAAACGTTTCTTTGTTGCAGTGCAGTGCAGTTTACACTATTTTGGAGTGGTTTTTCAAGCCCCAATCCTATTAATCAGCACGGAGTCTTTATCTTATAACCACAACTCAAACATTTCATTACCAACTTGCAATTTAGAACCTGCACGAGCAGTTGCCAGTATATAGTGTCTACTGTTTGGTCAATCAGAGGGTATGCTTTCATTGAAATTGCCAAGAAACTTTGACAATCAACTTGCCAAATTCACAGCGAAATTACCAAAGAAACTTCAATCAGAAAATTTATGTCCAAAATTTCGTTATATCAATAAAAATTTGGTAGATTTTGGTTACTTTTTGAACAATAAAAGACTATGAGTTTAACATGTTTTAAATTTTTTTGCAAATGTTATTAATTTGAATTGCATGCGTATATACAACATATAGAATACAACAATAATTGGCAAAAAGTTGTTTTGCGTTTTGGGAAAAGCCAACCACATTATTTTAATTAATAAACAGCAAAGAATACGTCACAAAATCACCAAAGGCGAATAACTAATCATGCAAGCTTGTAACTATATATCAACAAGTCCATTATTGAAAATACAAAAAAGATATTTCATATATAACCTTTTCCTATCAGATCGACAATGCTCTTTTTCAATGGCTCATAGTTCATAGCATTACCGGCGGAGAGATTTTTTAAACTGAACACTTGCCATCCACTTCCGCTGTTGGTCAAACAACACATGATAATGGCTTGAGAATGGGCAGCATGGCTCATTTCATCGCTGCACAATTGTTTATCTGGGAACTTCGCGTCAAAAAACTTTAGGCTTGGATTGGGATACTTGGAGATATTTGGAGACCTCCAAGCACTCAAGGTGAACACCAGCTTGTTAATATGAGCTGGCATTGATTTGATTGATACATTTATGGTATGATGGCCCAATCGCTTGGCATCATCCATTACATCACCGGAATGTTTGACTGCCGAGCATGATGTACTTTTTTTGTTCTGAAAGTCTATTACTTCAACAAACTTTGAACCACTGTAAAGTAATACAGAAGCGTCGAGGTAGTCGCGGCCACTGTGTAGATATCTCCTGACGTAGTCGCGACCACTGTGTGGATATCCCCAGAAGAGGTCAAATATGACATGATCAAGTTCATCTGGTATTGCATACAATAAGACGAGCAGGTATATTGTACTGTTGGGCTGAACATGATAGTCTTTCAACTTGAGAACTTCGTTATTCTTCCCTTTTGGCTGAAAATCAAACATATATAGAATCAGTTAGAAACACAAATGAAACACGTCAGATTGGCTAAAATAGATTTGGCTATAAGTAAATTATTAACTAGTAACAGAATGGGTGATCTCTGATTGGTTAAGATCCAATGGCAAAATTGTCACATCAACGCAACAGACGACACAATATGGAAACATTGTAACGTTTGACGTCATAGCGTGCGATAAGAAACACGATTATAGAACGCTATGACGTAATAGGGATGACGCAAGACAAAGCCGAAGGAGTGAAGCGTTGTCTCACAATACAAGCATACATGTCCGCCAAATGGGAAGGTTTGTCGACCTTAGGGAAGCTGAGATTCAAAAATTGCTGGGAGATAGCGAATCAAAAATACAAAACGAGCAACGAAATTCTTAAATTTATTGGAAGGCCGTTTCACCCCTAATCACCCGAATAATCTTTAAAGGGTATGAGCAACAAAAAATGTTATTGCTTCATCTGAAAGCTAGAGCATGAAAAAATAAGCCGTTTAATGCTCTATTCTATCTCATCTGGTTCCGAAGTTATACACAAAAATGTGCAAAATATAAATTGCTAATTCAGCACAACGTGTGACGTCATTAGCTGGGTAAGTATGTTTATTGAATAGTAAACTGAAGCATAGCTCAGTTATTATTGGCTCAAATCAAATGAAATTTTGCATACAGATAGTACATGATGAGACGCATGGGAAAATACTTCTAATTTTGTTGTCAAGGCAACAACAGTCGTTCCCAGGCCCCTTACACTGATTTTGAATAACTAGTTGCATTTATCTATGTGTATGTCATTTTCGAATTATTATCATGCAAGTAAACTTTTGGCATGCATAGGTATGGCACACATACTTCTGATATTATTTTATTCTTATAAGTACGATGAATAAAGCTGTTTTATAAAATTGGCGCAAGGAGCCTGGGAACGATATTGTTACCTTGGTAACAAAATTAGAAGTGTTTTCAATGCGTCTCGTCATGTACAATCAGTATGAAAAATTTCATTTGATTCGAGCCCATAATAACTAAGCTATGCTTCAGTTTACTATTCAATAAACATACTTACCCAGCTAATGACGTCACACGTTGTGCTGAATCAGCAACTTATATTTTGCACATGTTTGCGTATTACTTTGGAACTAGATGAGATAGAATAGAGCATTAAACGGCCAATCGGCTTGGCTTATTTTGTCATGCTCTTTCAGATTTTGTTGCTCATACCCTTTAACTATTTTATTTTCAATTTTTATTTGATGCCTGCAAGACAGTTGCCATGCCTGCAAGACAGTTGTTCGTTCATGATAATAAATTCAGCAGATAAGTTACTCAGTCATGCAGGGCCTATTTTAACATACAAGCTGGGGGGGGGGGGATAAAGATATATCTCATCGGAAAGTAAGTTTTAGGCTTCATCCTTTGTTAAACAAAATCGACTTAATTTAAATTATAACATTTGAATGATAAATTATTGTTAATATTTTTTTTTATTTTTTGTGCATTTTTTCCTTCTTTTATTTTAAATACAGTTAGCATTAATTTTAGAGCAAATTTGGATGCTCAGAATGCAGGAAATGGCATTTACGGGATCCAAATTTCAAAAAATTTCTGGGTGAGTATGGCCCCAGACCTCTTCATTCGTGTGTAGTATGTCGGCCACACACATGGCCTTCGGTCATGCCTATCCCCCTCTAAATGGGTATCCTCCTAATAATGCCTCTCCCCCACACGAGGAAATCCTTAAAAAGGCCCTGACTCAGTGTGAAATGCATCGTACCTTCAGCTCAATGTCGTTATACAACAGGGATTGCTTGTTACGAGAGGTTTTTAGTTCTTGCTCGACAATATCTTTCAAACCCAGAATGGTTTGATCAGGCTTATATGGGAGAATGGTACATTCTCCAGAAAGTGTAGTTATAACTATGTGAGATGTTGACTCATCATCAGTCAGACTAAGAGATTGACCAGCTGTGTTGACTTCGTCGCCAGCAGCAACTGTGGGGAAAAGGAATTCCAAAGTCTCTACATATTGCTTGTACTGAATGTTGTTTTCTTCAACATGGACATCACACTGAGAACACGTGTGGTGTTCTCTTACTGACGCTGTTACACACTACAAGAAAAACAAATTTGAAAACCAATGAAAAAAAAGTAAATACATTTAAAATGTTGAACGGTGGAGCAATTTGGTACAAAAAAATGTGTAAACATCATAATCTATTCGGCGATATAGTTTCTCTTCCAATACACAAACGTTCCAAATACAGAGAAGAGCCCAGCCGTAAGGCCTACAAGAGCACTTTTCCTTATGCAATACAGTAAAACACCGTATATAAGAACATAGATTTTCCAAGTTAGCCTAAACAGGTTCTTATGTGAATGGCGCTTACCGGGAAATTGGGCTAAACAGGTTCTTAAAATAGGTTCTTATTTTCTTAAGAGAAAAGCGACTCGTTTTAGGGAGGTATGGTATATGATTTATATAAATTATGCACAAATGATCTAAAAAATGACATTATATGCACAATACCAACCATATATGAATTTTAAAGCTACACTGATTGTAACTTATGATTTAATTTTGACTCTGTTTGATAATATAATTAAAGAAATCTGTTTTGAAATTCTAGCCTGAACAGGTTCTTATTTAAAGGGGTCTAAATAAAATATTTTAGCCTAACAGGTTCTTAAATTCTAGGTTCTTATATGCGGGGTTTTACTGTAAACGATTAATTTAATTATTCACCCAAAACAGGCAAAAGTAATAAATTTGTTAATGACTGTATACGTATAGACTTGGGTCAAGTCCATACGTAGTACAAAGTCAAAGGGTCCAATGGAGTATTTTCTCGAGTGAGTCGAGTAACATCTGCTTTCAACACTCACAATTTTCGTTCGCTTGCTGCATGCGGCAGGGTTTTTTTTTCATCGTACGGCTATTCATATCTTTAATCAAACATAAACCAAAACGCTTACTTACTATATTTCTACAGTTGCTAACTTGCTATAGTTTATTTCACCTGATTTTTTACAATTCCTAGGTTTACTTTTCAGTAAGTTTAATTACGCGGTTCGTATGTATTGTATTCAGTTATTTGTTATTCTATTTACAGACCTATCGTCAGACTTTGGTTTGGCTAAAAATAAAGCTTTACATTTGGATATTTAGCGCCGGCTCAATTTTTGGCGGTCATCGGCTTACATGCAAAACGAAGGCGCGTGCATAATTCATAGACATCACAAGGGTCGGAGGGAAAAAATCAGGGGGGTCAGAAAGAAATTTGCCCGACTTTTTCCCATCGACATTGTGCCCGACTTACTAAAAAATGTTTTCCGTATAAACTTTCCAAAATTATTGTCGAGCGCGGGGGGAGGGGAGAGGTCATGTTTTCCTATTTGTCCACGTTACTTTTACATATTTCTAGTATTTTCAAATACTATTTTGCATATGTCTTTTTTTAAGTTATTCCCCCAATTTTTACCCGAATTACGTTTATAATTTGCCCCGCGAATTCATTTTGACTGGGCCCTGCCTCCCCCCGCCCCGCAGGGCCTTTTTTAACATACAAGCTGGGGGGGGGGGCAAATGCCCCTCAGTCCCTCCTTGTGCCCCTCCCCACGAAATCACATTTTTAGATTGTTACGTTTCTCCATGATAAATTATTGTTAATAATATTTTATTTTTTGGATGCTCAGAATGCAGGAAATAGCATTTCCGGGTTTCAAATTTCAAAAGTTTTCTGGGGATTATCCCTCAAATAAGTAATGATAAATTACGGTTAATATTCTTTTTTACTCTTTGTGCATTTTTCCTTCTTTTATTTCAAATACAAGTATAGTTTCAGAATGCAGGAAATGGCATTTCTGTGCTTCAAATTTCAAAAATATTCTGGGGAGTACACCCCCACACACGTGACCATTGCTATCCTCCTCTAATAAGTAATGATAAATGATGGTTCATTTTTTCTTTTACTTTTTGTGCGTTTTTTCCTTTATTTATTTCAAATACAAGTATAGTTAGGATAAATTTTGGAGCAAATTTGGATACTCAGAATGCAGGAAATGACATTACCGGGGGAAATTTTCTGGGGGAGTACACCACCAGACCCCCCCCCCCCTCCCATTCAGGCGTAGTATATTGGCCACACGTGG